GAAATGTATTGTTCGCCGTTCAAACTAGTATGTGCATTAAAGTTGGGATTTTAATGCTCTCACCCCCTAGGACATTATTTATTTTAAAATCAAAAAATATATAGGGGTCGCACAAAGCGCTCTAAGTTTTCCATGTACTATATTGTATGGGAAAAACAAATTTTCGTAGAAATGGTATAGAATTCTTGAAAATCAATATTTTTCGATCGGAAAACTCTAATTCCCTTCAGGAAACTTCAAAAATAATAGCAAATTTTTTAATACTACAGATTTTTTATTGACCCCCTTATTTCATTTTCTGACGTTCTTGGCGGATCTATAAAATATAGTTACTATGAAAAAATGACGAAATAAAGAATTGGGTATTATTATTGGAAATCTCCTGAAGAGAAACAGAAATTTCCAATTGAAAAATGTTGATATTCAAGAATTCTATACCATTTCTACGAAAAGTTGTTTTTTCGCTTTGAGCGACCGCTAAATATTTTTTAATTTCAAAAAAAAAAAATTTGGGTAAATTTTTAATTTTTTTTTATATAGAACAGTCCTAAAGGGTAAGAGCATAAAAACTCCGACTATACTTTTTCACATTCATTTTTGAACCACCCTAATGTACATACATATATAGTAATAATACCACGCAATTGTTTATAAAATAGTTTTGTTGCGTTATAAATATTGTACTTATATTCATATGTATGTACATAGTAATGCAATTCCTATTCTCTTATCAGGAAAGTAGGAGTAAACGCCATTCCTATTTGGAATTAAGAAAAAAAATGATTGGCGATCGATAGTTGATGGTGATATTTCCTTCTTTCTTTATTAGTTATTCTCTTCATGGATCATTATTATGTTTTAAAATTTAAGCAGCTTTTACTAAGCATTTTCAAAATATGAGTCCAATCGAGTATATGTTCTGTTTTATTAAGGTCCTGTGACGCCCAAAAAAAAAGAAAAATTTAAATACCTTTACATGTTCCTAAAACCGTTCCGATCATTAACAAATCCAAACAGCAGATTCAAAGAAATAGTACCCAGTTTTTCGACAAACGGTTGTAATCCCAAATATGCTTGTGTTAGTGTGCCACTTGCAGCGCAGCCTCTGCAACCTTCTGATTGTTCCTACCTTTCAACCTGTATAGAGCTTCATAAGTTATGATCGGTCCTATGACTGTGGTGTATATGGGTCGTTCTTAAAAAACATGACCATTCTGAATTTTGTAATTTTTA